CCCAGGCCCCAGCGCTTAGTTTTGAGGCAGGAGATTATGTCTATCTTCGTGGCACTCCACTCAGGGGAGTTCATCATTTTCAGACCAAAGGCAAATTGGCACCACGCTTTGTAAGACCACACAGAATCTTGGAACGAAGAAGAGAAGTTGCTTACCAGGAGCTTCCACCCAACATGACTAGCATCCATGATGTTTTTCACATGTCATAACTGAAGAAGTGTTTAAAAGTACCTGAGGGGGCGAGTCCCGATAATATCGAAATCCAAGAGGACTTGACGTATGTGGAGAAGCCAACTCGCCCCAAAACCAGTGAGAGAAGAACTAGAAACAAGGTAATCAGATTCTGCCGAGTTTATTGGAGTCATCACTTGGAGGACGAAGCAACTTGGGAAACAGAAGATGAGTTAAAAGCCGCCCATCCGCAACTCTTCGACAGCTCTTCCGAATCTCAGGGTCGAGATTCTGTTTAGGGGTAGGTTTGTCACACCCGAAAGTTTCCCATTTTTCCTTGGTCCCTAATTCATTAATAAATTACCTAGAGAAAACATTTATGTTAATCTGGATTGTGAATTAGCTGAATCAGCATGGTAGAATTTTCTTCGAAATTCCTTATGTTTAAATGCATTAACAAGATTTTTAGAGGAATTTTTAGAGCAGAGGTGGTAACATTTATAAACCAAAGAAATCATCAGGAGTCAATTAAACAAAATTCCTTCCTCTCCCTCCTTTACCCGTGAGCCGTTTCCGGTTCACACCTTTCCTATACCCATCTTCGAACTCGCGCCGCCGCTGCATCGGCCACCGCGTCCCCCATTTTCTTATCATACCCGGCCTCACACTGTTCACGCTGGTCGTATCCCTATCCAATTCTACCTACCGTTGTTTTTATCCTCTCCAAAAGACAGCGCCGCCACCCTAACTAGCCGCCACCCTTCCTCTGCCGCGCACACTGCCCTAGCCGCCATCGGGCCCACTAAACCACCACCGCCTATAAAAGCCACCCCACACATCCCCTATTTATGTTTCCTTTTTTCTCGCCGTGTGCCGCCCTAGCCGTCACCCCCTTCCTCTCCCGTGCGTGCCTGCCCTAGCCGCCGCCCTCCCTCTGCCGCGCCCTTGCCACCTCTACCGCTGCCATGCATGCCACTGCCGTCGCCGGTGAGCCCTCCCCTCACCCTCATCTCTCGCCAGCATGTTTTGCTATCAAGATCATCCCCTCCATCTAACTAATCTATCATGTGTTTTGCCCTATTCGTCGTCGTCGTCGTCCGCGGATCACCGCCGCAGCCGCTCCTCCACCGGTTGCTGTCATTCCCCGATGAGGCCCCCTTCCGCTCCTTCCCTACTCAGTGTGCGCCTGCCGCCACCGACGTCTTGCCGCGCCGCTGCCGCCTTTGCTGTGAGCTTGCCGCTACCGTCGCACCATGCTGCACGCTGTCGCCGCGGCCACACCGTGCCATGTTGCCGCCATGCTGCCTTGCTGTGCCGCCGCTGTCGGCTTGCCGTGTGCATGCTGCCGCTGGCCGTGCCGCCTGTCGGCCGTGCCGAGCGGGCAAACCCTAGCATCGCTCAGTCGGTTTCGTGACTGACCTGGGCTGCCGATTTCGTGAACCGACGGTGGACCGCCCGCGTGGTCCCAGACCATGGTAGGTCAGCTCCTTGAGCTGCTGACCCATTGGGGTCCGCCTGCCGGCGCCATCCCTCCTTGTTGTTGTTCACCCTCGAGCGTTAATGCGTAATAATTGAATAAGTACTTTTTGTTTATAGTAAAAACACAGTAAAGCTTCCAAAATTCCTTTCTAAATCATTCAAGCTCCATTTTAATTCATTCAAGTCTCAATAAATTCATAAAAATGTCTAGAATCCATTAAAATAGTTTTGTTTCTTGTTTAGTATATTTATAGCATGTTTTGAGTGCGTGCTTTGTTTGTCGTATAGAATTCCGCAGTTCCGAAGCTCCCGTTTATTATGAAGTGGTCACTAAAGTTCCTCCAGCTCAGGAGCAAGGCAAGTCATACATACGCATTGATCATATTGTACCTATTTTGTAAATTCCTCGCTTTTTTCTTAAAATCGCATTGTTTTATAATGTCACGAGGGATGGATACGTAATGTAACTCAGCCTTTGTTATTCTATATCATTGATAGCTTGGGATATAAAATGATTAGATGATTGGTTTAGGTGATGCTTAGCCATGCTTAGATCAATTAGTACACTATGGGTTCCACACGAATTCTTAGTCCTTAATTTAATGATGGAATACCACCATGATATTAATTAAACTAAAACATGACAAATGGTTGGTTGTGGGTCCATGGTTTTGATAGTAGCACCCCATGGCAATTAAGGACCTGTTCTTGGGAAACACTGGAGGAATTACCCGTACTTACCACAAGTCAACGTGGGCAATGATTGGATTTGGAGTGTAGCTTCTTTCTAACCGAGTACCAACGATAGGGTGGGCGTGATGAAGTAGGATGGGTCCTGCGACGACCTCTGCTACTTCCAAATCCACCTAGGCACGAGTGGGGGTTGTCCACTGCTGGTTTATGGGTGGGGGCAAAACCTGATGTGGGTGCGATTTGTTAGGAAGGGTTATATGAAGGGTCCTGTCAGAACCTCTTTCCAAGGTAGCATGGTGGTATTGAGGCGCATGGTACCATGTCGTGGGCTGTCTTGTGGGTAAAGTTGTATACCTCTGATCAGAGTAAAGCTATTCGAATAGTCGTGCCCGTGGCTATGGGCGGTCAACCAGATTCACTGTGATTAGTCTCACCTTAATAATTTGATATATTGAACTGGTTTAGTGTTGGGCATGTTTCAATGTGATTTAGCGTTGAGCAGTGATGTTTAATATTGATTAATTTATATCTACTATTTTACTATATTCAAATTGTGATATGAAAATGTTGCTTATGCAAATAACCCATAGCTCTCCTTTGGTATTATTCTGCATCGTGCCTTCTATTGGTTGTTGTTATGGCTTGTTAAATACAGTGGGTAGTACTCGGTCTTATTTTATTTTTCCCCCAACACTTAGAAGCAAAGTATTATTCGGATGAAGATTATTGGGAAGAGTAGGCTTGTTGCGGTCTTGCGGACGTCAAGGATGCCTGTGGATTTGGAGACGCTATGTTTTCCCAAGAGATGGATGATTAGCTAATTCGATTATTTATTTCCGCTGCATATGTAAGACTTATTTATATTTTTGTAAGACATGGATCTGTGTATTAATATTGTCGTTTGTGTATCTTGGCTAGTCTGGACAGAGATTTCAATACACATTCTGCTTAAAATTCGGATCAGCGAATTTTTGGACGTGACAGGCTACTAGCTGGGAGTCTGGGACCCCTGAGCTCTAGCTCCTGCCCGCCCGTCGCCCATCATGGCATGGTCGTAGGACACAACCGGCGGCCTTTTCTTGGCTTCCGGTATGTATCTATGCTGATCTAGCTCATTTGTGATTAGTGAATCCATAAATATTCCACTGCCAATTTGTGATTTTATTGGCAATGAAGTCTATCCAATGGGTGAGAGTCGGTTGAATCTCTCTCCAAACGCGATGACGAGCTACTCCCGACTTGGTGGTGTTTGTTCTGAAGATGAAGATAAAGATAAAGATTAAGTTTTTCACGTAAAACGATGTGGTAATAGCATGTAATTAATTGAGTTTTAATTATTACAAACTTGAAAAATGAATTAATCTTATATTTTAGAACAACTTTCATATAGAAAATTTTCGCACCAAACACACCGTTTAGCAGTTTAAAAAGCGTGCCACGAGTTTCCAAAAATTTATCCAACCTTTATTAGAGAAAAGAACAGGACGGTGCTAGATGCTTCTTGTATTGAAGCATGTCATAAAGATTGACAAAACAGCCGCTATAACATAACAGACTTTGAGTTGAGTCGTGACTTCTACTACCTCCGTCTCAAAATAAGTGCAGCCGTGGATATCCGTATCCAACCTTTGACCATCCGTCTTATTTAAAAAATTTATGAAAAAATTAAAAAAAATTAGTAACACATAAAGTACTATTCATGTTTTATCATCTAATAGCAATAAAAATACTAATCATAAAAAAATTTCTAATAAGATGAATGGTCAAACGTTGAACATGAATAGTACAAAACTGCATTTATTTTGGGACGGAGGGAGTACTTGTTTTGCATTTGTATCAAATTTTAACTAATTTTATACTTGTACACATGTTTTATCTGTGTTCGAAAATTTTATTATGTGATATAAACCTGTGAAGTAGGACTATCCAACGAAAACTTACTAGCTACGCCATTACTTGTCGCACATTTTTTTTTAAATGTGCTAGGCATGATGTTTACCACTCTCTAAGCTGGACTGGGATTACTGGTATTCAATGAAGACCAGATCAGTATGTCGTGCCACCCATCATTCTGCTTCGTTTGCTTGCTTGCTTACACAAACCCACAGCTTGGTGTTTACAGCTGTACTAACGGCTTTTTCAATAGAGTACGATCAGTTTATTCACCGAAAGATAAAGTATATATATATATATAAAAAAAAAGAAGCCGACCAGCTTAACGGCTAGTCCCGTAACAGGCGGAGGAGAGAGAGACTTTCCGACCAGCCCGTTACCCATCCATCCCCACCGTCCATCCCGGATCGGGCTCATCCTGATCCTGCCACGTGTCCACGTGCCCTGAACTAGCCGTTACGTCCTTTCGTCCCCGCCTGGTCCCCGCCGTGAGACGCACACACGTTCGCTGCCAGGTGGGTCCCACCTAGCCGGGCCCGCGTGTCAGCGTCGTGGTGGCGTGTCCCCAGGTGGTGTGCCCCACGTTGGTGGAAGGGAATCTGATCTAACGGCTAGTTTTCTCCGCCGCCGCCTATAAATACCACGTCTCCTACCCGCCTCGCCAACCACCACACATCCAGCGTCCATCTCTCCCACTAGCGCGAATCTCAAAGCACTTCTGCCTCGTCTTGTCCGGCGAAGAGACCACCACGACCACCGCATCAATGGCCCGCCTCGCCGTCGCCGCCGCCGCCGCCGCGCTCGTCGCCATCCTCTCCGCCGTGGCGGTGACAGCGCAGAGCCCGAGCGCTGCCCCGAAGATGGCCCCGCTGCCGCCGCCGCCGAAGATGGCGCCCCTGCCGCCTCCCCCGGCGGCCAAGGCCCCCACCGCCTCGGCGCCGTCGCCGGTGACGGCGGCCTCGCCGCCGGCCCCGCCGATGTCCCCGGCCTCGTCGCCCTCCGACGCGGCGGCTGCGGCGCCGGGCCCCGCCGACGCCGGCGCCGCGACGGCCCCGTCCAGCGGCGTGTCCGCGCCCGCACTCGCGCCCGCCGCGGCCGGGAAGAGCGCCGCCGGCGCCGTCTCCGCCTCCTTCCGCCTCGTCGCTGTCGCCGGTGCGTTGGCCGCCGCCGCCGTCGTGTTCTAGATTTAGAATTTTTAGATAGCCGCGGCTTCGCCGCCGCTGCTGTTGATACTTGTACTCTACCGCCACTCTGTTCTCGTTTTTTTCCCCATTCTTTATTTGTTTGATTAATTCGAGACCGAGAGGGAGATTGATTGAAAATGAGATATTATTCGGGTTTTTTTTCAAGCGGAAATGATTATCATTACATGCTTCATAGAAGATAAGTGAAGTAATTTCGTAGAACATTATCTGAAAAAGTTTGATAAATTCTTCTCCCATTTGTTGCTCTGCTTAACAGGGGAATATTAACAATTGAATTAACCGATTCGACGAATATTGGCTAAAGACCTAAGAGGTTTTGCACAAACAATCTGAACATTTGTACAGAGCTGAAGTTGAGTTCTCTGAAAATTTAGTGCTTCTTAATGGTGCCTCTTGTGCCATGCTTGTGATTATCTATAATCGGCTCGATCATCGTCTTCACGTCCTCTTCGATTTCGTCAACCTGTAGAAACAGTCAATTCGATTGATAATTTCTGGTGGGACTCGCATATTAAAAAAAAAAATCCGGTTTTTCCGGAAACCATGCCCCCACCATTTGTCTCATTTTACCGACAAGTTCAAATTCAAAAATTGAAATCATAGCTATCTGCCTACCCGCCAGAAAAATTCAAATTGAAATTTGAATCCATAGCCTACGCTGTTTTTGGTACCAGAAGACGCTATCTTCATTGTAGTAGTCTTTATATGATTCAAAATTATTCTAAAATACTTATCTTATTGTAGTAGTCTTTATAGTAGTCCAAAAATACTTTCGGCAGATGAGATAGTTCCAAATATTGAAGCAATATTCTCTTTTGGAACCATCGTATCTTATCTAATCTCTGAACCAAACACATAAGGGGATGTTTAGATGGGGCTAAAACTTTTTAGCTCATGTCACAACCCCTAAAAATAGAATGATCCCATCCCAGGACATCTCTTCAACCAAACACATGCCTAAAGTATTAGTTATCTCATGCATCATCTTTCATTTAAATTTCTTCCTATGATATACTCTCGAATATCACTCCACTATCCACATCATTTAATAAGTGCCAATATAGCCTTTTTTTTCCATAAAAAGTCTTAATGTATGTTAAATTATCTATATCATTGTAGTAGTATGTATTTTGGGACGGAGACATTAGTAGAATAGAGTAGAAGCAACATAAAGGTCAGGGTTTCAGTGTTGCTTAAAGCCATGGAGTACCATCGTTTTCAGTAATCCAGTGTTGGGCAAAATAGCAGATTTCTTACTCCTCTGTTATGGAAGCTGCAAAACTGTGATCAGATAAGGATTAATTAATGGTTAGTACTAACCTTGTGGATGATGTCGTGGGCGAGATGAGCCTCCTCGGCGACCTCCCTGGACGCGCGCTCCACCAGCGCCGCCGCCCGCCGCAGCGCCCCGTGCTCCGGCAGCTGCTCCGCCTCCGCCACCTCCGCCGACGCCTTCTCCACCGCCGCGGCCACCTCCTCCACCACCTCCGCCGCCGTCTCCGCCGCGTCCTTCACCATCTCCACCTCGCCTGCAATTAACGGCCATCCAACGAATCTCAGATCGTGTTCCTGTCCGATATGAATTAATCGCAAGAACCAATTCGTGTGTGTTTTATGTGTGTCTGTGTTGTTTTTTTACTTTGGATTCGGAGAAGCGTCGCCCACTTGGACTGCAAGAACGGCGCCATGGCGGCGAGGACGACGACCAATCTTGCCCTGGCAACAGAATTAGGACAAGACGGAATAAAATTTCGTGGTAAAATTGGAAAGCGCAACTGATTGGGTGGTTTAAATCTAGGTGTCCACGAATATTATGCACATACAAATAAGTTTTCATAATGAGTTTAGTTTTCATAACGAATATTATGCCCAGAAATATTATGCACATATATTCGTGAAGATGCGAGTGCGGTGTTCCGTGTGCAGTGGCGTTGTGCTCCTCTGCCGTTTAATCGAAGAAAAAAAATTCGTGGCAAAATGCGTGCAAGATCGATCAATATTACAGCGCGCGACGGGCTGGCTAGCTGTGTACCAGGTGAAGAGAGGGGCTGTTCCTTCTTTGCCATGCCGGCGCGGTGATCCTCCCGTGTCCGCCGCGCCGCCGCCGCCGCCGCCGGTGGTGGCCTCTCTGCACATGACACCACGACGGCAAACTCAGCGGCCGGCAACCTGACGACAGAGAGACCACACGGCGACAGAGACAGCAGGTGGAGCAGAGTAACGTACATGCGATCCACCCTGGACAAGAACGGCCTCCGTTGATCCAGCGCCGGTGCTCGCGCCGCCGGTGTCCCCGCGGTGGCGCCGCCGCCGAGGCGGACGGTTCGCCGGAGCCCCTGGCAGTAGAGCGACGCCACGGACCTGACAAGGGCCGACATTTTTCACAACGATCGACCGCGATATATCGGAGTAAATGTCTATTTGATCACCGGCCTATATATACACGTCCACATATATATATAGTTCAGGTGACGCGAGGATGAGAGGCTGGCTTGCAAGGCATCTGAAGTGGAGTAAATTCTGAACTGATCTGATAAGGATATCTGAATATATGTGATAGGATGCTGTGCTGAGCTGGGTGAATGGACCTGTGGGCAGTGTGCACTGCATTACACGTCAATGCAAAGCCACTACACACAACATTGCTTGCAAGCAGCGTGGTGCTATGTGCGACAAAAAGATACACATTTTTGTAGAGATGGAAAATCAACCAAAAAAAAAAACAAATTGAGCTAGGCTTGCAAGCAACAGGCAGGGGCTAATTCATCCACTTGAGTTTTCTTTTCTTCTTTTTTTTTTGTTCTGTTCTGTGTTGGCACACAACGATACTCCCTCGTTCTATAACAAACCATGCAACACATCCTATTACAACAAATTTGAATAGAATGTACCACATCCAGTTTTATATTTGTTGTTTTTTTTGAAACAGAGGGAGTAGATGTGAAGATGAGTAATACACCCAAATCCACATGAGAAGCCTCTTTTTCTGGAGTGCGCTTTCCATTTGTAATGATCAAACCATTTTTTCTATTGGTATCAGCTATAACGAAGTGACACATGGCACCATTTTCCCGAAGACGCTATTAGTTCCATGCTTTTCCACCGTTTCTTTTTCTCCCCTACAATATACTCCGTATGTGCTTACTTAGGATTACGCATCCGTAAAATGTACTCTGCTCACAGGTCATGAACTCACAATATATCGAACGCTTGAAATATGGTCTTAAACGTACCACAAAAGCTCATAAGCGTACAGATTAACACACTTTTGTCCAATCATGGAATCTAATCTCACCACGATGGACTGATTACAGGGACAAAGAATCTCGAAAACGAAAAAGAGCTGGTCCATGATGATTGGGTACGGCCCAGCCCATAATGGTCTATTCGATATTATCAACCTATGAAGCCCATAAGTTATATTTAGTGGGAGAATTTAGGCATGGTTATTTCCAGCAACTTAATTGGATTGTTGTCACGAATTAGTCGTTCCCTACCTCTCTAAAACTATATTTTCTACAAAGAAACTTCCTTATACATTTAGATCCACTCATTCTAAGTTATTCATTCATTAAGTTTATTTATCAATATATTTAATTTGTATATATAATCGTATGGATAATCTTCTACAATAATCTGGTTCAACATGGGACCTTTTCCATTGGTACCAAAACTTTTGCACCGGAAAAAAAAAATCAAACTCCGGTCGCTACAGCTCTGTGAAATCTCTTCGAGTTGCCACTTCCATTGTGACCGGCTGTAAATTGTTTTTAATCTTAACAATTGTGCTAGAGGAGAGGCTAGATGCAGCTCAATAGAGGTAGGGTGAGTTCAACGTTTTCTCGCGAACGCACAGAAAAATTGCACGCCAATATATTAGAAAAAAAGAATTTTTTTACACAACGCAATCAGCCAGACCGGTCTAAACTTTTTTTTTCCTTGGATTGCGTTTTGTAACAAAAACTCTTTTTCTCCCTTTCCCTGGTTTAATTAGACCGGTCATCTTTTTACTTCACCCGCAGACCGGTCCAAACCAAACCAGGGGAAGAGAGAAAAAGCAAAACAAAAGCTGCAGCAAGGAAAAGGAGAAAAAAAAACTACAACGATGGCTAAGCGCAACTCTGATCAGCTGGTGAGTTCAAAGTGAAAAGATGAAATACAGAGTGTCCAAACTAAAACTTGAATAATAAAAGATGGTCCAAATTGCAATTTACTCAATTTATTTCCCCGTATCATTTTAAGTGTAGTTGTGGGTTTCAATGTCCAACGTTTCACCGTCTTATTTAATTTGTTTATAATTAGTATTTTTTATTGTTATTAGATGATAAAATGTGAATAGTACTTCATGCGTGACTTATTTTTTTATAATTTTTTTAAATAAAACAGATGTTGAAACGTTAGACATATGAACCCACAACTGCACTTAGAGCAAATATAATAGAGGGCTGTAAGAAGATCAAATACTGATGTGGATAAGAGAGGAGATGAGAGAGATGAGAAACGGGCTATAAGCTTGCAGCCAGCTTAAGCACAGGAACCAAGAAAATCTGTGAGACAGATAGATGGGCCATATATTTATAGTGAGTAAGTAGCTGGTTGTATTATTAGCTTCTCTTGAAATGAGATACTAGCTATAATTACAGAGGAATACACCGTTTAATTTCTCTAGCATTTCCATCAAATCTGCTCGGTGCAATGCCATTCACGAGATGGAATTAGGTGTAGCACTGTAGCTAGCAGTGCCTTTTGGGACACGTGGGGGCCATGGCTGCACTGCTCACCTCTGGGGATTTGCTTCCACGTCAGAGACACACAACATGCTAGCTTCATGTGCCAGCAAAGCTTACGTGTACGGCCCTGATTCCTCCCATCACATATTCCAAGTGCTCCTTTTTTACTTTTCTTTTCTTTTTCTTTTTACAAAAGCCACATATATTGCACGTGTTTTGTCTGCACTCTCGATTGGCTACTTTGCACAAGAATGCGCACCACATTCAGAATTGTAACATGCTTTGTGATCTGGACTTTCTGTAGGTTTTAAAATTTACCACGGAAACGGGGCATTTTTGTTCTTAAGAAAAAAGGAAACAGGGCATTTTCCACGTATGAAATTTGGGGTGGGGTGGGAGGGGAAGTAGTCAAATCTAAAAGAAATTAAACATGGCCAAAGCCATTGAATATGTATAAGTACACGAAACATTCAAACCAAAATTCCCTCCGCTCATTCCTGGAATTTAAAATTTGTACATGAATATACACATTTCTTGGATAATAATTAGAATGCACATAAATCTAAATATTTTTAAGGGCTGTTCACTTTGATACCATTTCAAACCATATTACCATATATTTTTTTTAAAGTTGACAAAAATGTGCATATGTTTGGTTTCTTACCAAACTTTGGTAAATATACCAAAAATATGGCAACTGCACAATAATGACTAAAATTGGGTAGCATGTATGGTTCCAACAAAGTGAACGCATCCAAAATAGCTAGCTATCTTGCTAAAATTTGGCAATACTGTCAATCTTGATAAGATTTATTTTGGCATCAAAGTGAACAACCCCTTAACCATCCAGAAGCTTGGGAATGGCATTTAACGATTCAAGAATTCAAATTTTAACTAATGGTGGGAACTAATGAAAATATTTTTTTCCTTGCTAGCTAACCTATAAAAGTACTTATATTTTACAACAGAGGAAATATTTTGTACTCGCTCCGTCCTAAATATTCGACGCCGTTGACTTTTTAAAACATATTTGACCGTTCCTCTTATTAAAAACTTTTGTGAATATTATTTAAAAACTTGAGTAGTAGTAGTATATTTAACAATGAATCAAATGATGGAAAATAATTAAAAATTACTTAAATTTTTTAAATAAGACGAACGGTCAAACATATTTTAAATAGTTAACGGCGTGAAATATTTAGGGACGGAGGGAGTATGAAAATTCATCGTTGTGGTTAGTAATTAGGAACAGATCCTGGTGAAGGATTAAACAATTGAGTTAAATTAAGCTATTGATGAATGAGCTTAATTATATCAAATGACGCAGGCTGTTGATCATGAATCAAGCCATCAGGCACCGTACGTTCTTATCAGCTTATCGGACAGGCTACTTTCTCATTTTTCATGAACTCGTTTTCCGAAGTTCTAAACGAGCAAAAGCATTTTATATAGAAGTTTCTTGAAAATCAAATAATTTTATTTTTCAATTTTATAGTAAAATTAGTAGTATTTAATTAATCATATGCCAATGACACATCACGTTTCCCGTGCTGTAATAAGCTCAAACCCAACCTCACGCCGAAATTACGCCTTAAGGCATGGCTAATCCATTTATATGATGATCCTACGAATTTGGTTAAATAGCTCAATCTTTCTCTTCTTTTTTTTAATCAACTACGTGTTTTTAGGAATGATAGGATGATAGATAATTAAATTCATTCCATCTTCAAACCAAACAACGTGTAAAGTGCATTGTATATCATGACGTCTCTCATTTTTTAGTTTCCTTTCAGTACCAAGTAATTGATCCAAACATATAGTTAATTAAACCTCTCCCTGCTTCTTAATATATGCCAAAACCACCATATCTCAAATATTATATTTTCTAGCTAGCTAATACTAGTTCGCAATAAACATTTGATGCCTGCACTGCCAAGTGCCATTACATACAAGAGAATCCCCAGCTGGAGCACATCTGGGAAAGTAGGCAGCTGCAGGCAGTACAATTCACAAGCTAGTTTTGGCATCAGCAAAAGCCTGCTCCTCCTGCATCCTCTCCAGAATCTCATGCACTGCAGTTGCAATCTCCTCCACAGACCCAAGCTTACATCCATCCTCCACCTACAGTTATACATCCAAATCACAAATCATTATTCTTCGCATCATAAATCATAAATATCTATTTTGTTCACATAAAATATATATTAATACATTTTCCTTAAGAACAAAAAAAACAAATTTGCCACCTCTAAATTACTTTTAACATTTGTCAAATAAACAAGGTAGATGCTAGGATTTGAAGTCGGGTGGGTTGGTTGGATCATGAAACAGATCAATATAAAATATAAGAAAAAGAAAAATCGAACACCATTGGTGGTTGAGACTGACCTTGAGGCTGAAGGAGTACATGGCCATGGCGGCGACGGTGGTGACGTTGAGATGCAAGGTGGTGAGCCCTAGCTGGTGGAGCCCGGCGACGAGCTTGAGCAGCTGCCTCGGCCGCCGCCGCGCCTGCACCTTGACGCTGGCGTGGCCCTCCACCATGCTCGCCTCGATGTCGGCGATCGCCGCGCCGGCGCCGCCACCGGCGGCCGTAGTCGTCGTCTCTGCAGGCTTGACGACGATCCTGCTGTGTGCATCGCCGCCGCCGCCATGGCCGGAGGTGGCGGTGGAGTACTGTGGGAAGGCGAAGAAGCCGGCGAAGGGGGAGGGAGACTCGCCGGCGCCGCCGTCGATGTGGTCCTTGATGGTCCTTCTCGCCTCCAGTGTTTGGAGCAGCTGCTCTAGTTCCCTCACGTAGTTGATTGCTCCCCCAACTATGGATGCTTGGTCACCCTAGAAAAGAAAAAGAAAACAAAATCTATCAATTCGTTTTCCATGAAGGTGTAAAAGTAAAACGATGTTGAACAGATGTAAATTTTGAAATGTGGGTTTGATCTGATTTATCTTCTGATGGTGCATTGATTTTGAAATTCGATAAATTTAGAATTGATATGAAAACAAATAAAAAGATTACCCTTTGGGCGTAGGAAGGTGGCATGAGGGAGCGGAGCACGGCGAGGTACTCGTTCATCTGGCGGCGGCGGTTTCGCTCGACGGCAATGTGGGTCATCCGCTGGCTCTCGATCTCCTCCCGGTTCTTCGCCGCCTTCGCCCGCCGCCTCTTTCTCTTCCCCGCCGCCGCCGCCGCCTTCACAGGCGGCCGCGCCGCCACCTTAGAAGAAGAAGAAGCATGCTGATCCTGATCCACCTCCCACTCATCCACGCCCTGGATCACATCAAGAGACGCCTCTGCCGCGAACAGGCCGGGATCGTCCCAGCTCCCGCCGCCACCGGCGGCTGCGAAGACATCCCACGGCGCCGCCGGGGCGCCGCCCATCAGCCCGCCGCCGTACCCGCCGAAATGGCCGCCGTGGGAGTAAACCACCGCCTCCAGCGCCATCACCTTCCAATGCCAGCAATGGCGTGCGGTGGCTGGCCGGTAAGTGTGAACGAACACCAGCCCGCACCGGCCGGCGGCGGGGGAGGAAGACGACGACGAGCGAGGTGAAGAATATGGGAGGAGAAGACAATGGTGGTGGGTGGCCAATGGAGATGGAGGAAGCTAAGCTAAGCTAGGGAGGGGTTTTATAGAGTGGAAATTGGAGCAAGCAAAGAGCCAAGGTTAGGGTAGCTATAGCCAAGAAATTGAAATGAAGGACGACATGAAGGTCCCACAAAGGAGAAAGATTGGGGGTGGCTGGATTTTGTGCTTGGGGGAATGAGACCCAATGATTAAGTATTTGCAAGTAGCTAATTAGGGGGTTGTAGTGTTCAATTAATCTTTGGTTTTCTATGCAATTGGGCAGGGCAAGAGGGGTGCATGTAGAGAGATTTGATAGAGAGGTTTGTGGGAGGAAAACATTCCTTCTTGCCTTGAATGTTTATGTGGCTTTTTCTCCTTAATTGTTTATTGATGATTGTGGACTAGTGTCTAGTGGTTGTATTTTTGTGGTTTAGGAGGATGTGTAAGCTTGCTAGCTTGTTGAACTTGATTTGCTATGCTTGTGTTAGGAACCTAGGATCAAATAATGGTGAGTTTTTCTCCAGATAAGGATAACCAACGATAGAACTAGCATGTAGAAATTTTGTAGAGCCTGACTAGATAACACTAGCATCCCACATACTTTGGTGTGGCAGCTCGAGCAACTATATATTGACGCAGCTGATTCCACCACCGGGTTATAGTAAAAAAGTTGGTAACTAAACCACATTTTGCCATCACTTTTTGGTGTAGTACACGCATGTGGGTACGGTGGAACCAACCAACCAACCGATCTTATATGATGTTTTCAGTATATTTTCTGCGTACATATGAGAAGTGTGTGTGTGTGTGTGTGTGTGTGTGTGTGTGTGTGTGTGTGTGTGTGTGTGTGTGTGTGTGTGTGTGTGTGTGTATATATATATATATATATGTGTGTGTGTGTGTGTGTGTGTGTGTGTGTGTGTGTGTGTGTAACACTATGATACTAGACTACCGTCTAATATATTCTTTTCTAGTGTTTTACGCTAACAAAAATGGTCCACTTTTTAACATGATCATATCCCTTATAGGTTGTGCACATCTCGATCACGAAATGCCAAAAATCTGAACAGTGACAATAGATCATGTCTACTGCACAAACCTAAGTGATGACCAAAAGAAGTTTTCTTGAGTGACGAAACCCATCATATGTGGCTGGCATCCAACGTACTACGACATTGTAGCGTGACATACCCAACGCCCATTTGCCGCGCACCGGTTATTAAGCTGATCAGACACCTGCCTAGTGTCAATATTATTAATTGTTTCTTGGTCCGTGACTAGAATAGTAGTAAAAATTGCTGGCAAACCAATTCCATCTTATTGTGATAGAAATTAAGAGAAATAAATAAGCTTAATTTAGTTAATATATAACAAAAGTTATTTGTAAAATTCCAACCATTCTATTTATTTGGAAAATATCCAAAAGATTAAACGAGAATAGAAAATTTCCACCTCGCCTAAGTAGAGATATTTTACAAATAAAGAGGAAACTAATAAATTTAGTTAGAAAATAAGATAAAATAAAATATTTTTGATACCAAAATATTTGGTTTTTTGATAACCTGCTACACTTTTGCTACCATTTTTTCGGGGCAATAATGCATTGTGGATACACACACCAACCTAACCAACCAACCTCAAATGGTTTGATCTTGTAGTGAGCATTTTTCATATGCACAAAAAGTAAATTTTGGCGCAATACTACTACAATACAACTAGATACCAGGTAATTATATATACTACAATATTTTGATTTTTGAACCACTACAGAAACACACAAAGGATACGACACTATAGGTCCTGAAACAGTTAAAACCGGCACCTATAGTGCTTTTCCCACCACAAACGCATACCCACAGAGCACCATCGGTTAGAATCGACACCTTTGGGAAGAAATAGGGGCCGGTTCTAGAGAAAAACTAGCACCAATACTATATGTGCTAGTTTTTTTAAAAAACTGACACCTATAATATATTATAGGTGTTAGTTAATAAAAAACCGATACCTATAATATATTATAGGTTTTGGTTTTTTTAAAGAAACCAACACACGTAATAACCAAGCTGAGCTGAGCCGAGCCGGCCACTCACGAGTGGATATGGAGAGGGAAGGGCCGAGTGGGCGTCCTTATCCACTCCACTCACCTCCCAGCCACGAGGGCGCTGCAGTCGGCATCGATCTGCTCGGAGGCGGTGCGAGCCACCAAGGCCATGGCGTGCAAGGTGCTGCTGCGGGTGGCACCCGCGGAAGAGGAATCGGTAGCTGGGACGATCGGTGGAGCAGTGCCGGTGCCTGGGCGGGTCTGGTAGAAACCACGGATGGGCGGTGACCAAAGATGGGCGTGGACTGTTTCCCGCGGCGACAGCGGCGTCGGCGGCTTTCCGCGGTGGATCCGGCAGTGGCGGAGGCGTTAGCAGCTTTCCGTTGCGGATCCTCGGGTGTCAGCGACTTCCCATGGCAGTGGCGATGACGGCGGTGGTGGAGAAGGAGGCTGGCCCCTCCTCCTATCCATTCAGTGACGGTGGTGGTAGTGGATGTTCTTGATGTGTTCAATACCGTAGTGTTTTTGGATGTTCTTGATGTGTTTATGTGTTCTTGGATACGGATTAATATTGATGGACTTTGGTCGAGGTGAAGGGGGAGCTGCTCAAGCCGGCTTTTTTCTTTTTGCATTTCTGGAACCTCAAAGGTGCCGGTTCCTAAACCGACACCTTTCAATTCTCCTCAAATGTGCTGCCTACTAGGTGCCAGTTGAAAAATCCGACGCCTATGGTCAGTTCCAAACGGGTACCTATCCACTTTTCTATAGTAGTGTTCATGTGTTAATTTATGTTTCTTAAACAATAAATATGGTTCACTTTCCTGTTTTCACCAATGATGTGATCACCCCCTCGCAGGTCCTGTGCATCGAGCATGCAATGCCAAAAATTATCTACAGTGACAATAGATCCTGTCCACTACACCAACCCAGGAGACGACGACGCATAGGTCACACCTGCACAAAAAGTTGCATACAAAATCTTGGGGACAATATATATATACTACTGTATGACTTATTACAAAGTGAGTTTTTCTTTTATTAGATACTACAAGTGGGTAACTTTTTTTTCTGTCAGTACTGGCAGTGAAATACGCCTGATTCCCGATCGAAGAGAAGCTGCTGCTTCCTTAATTTTCAACTCCTAAAAAAATATACTCCCCCCGTTTCAAAATGTTTGACACCGTTGACTTTTTAGTACGTGTTTGACCATTCGTCTTATTCAAAAAAATTTAAGTAATTATTTATTCTTTTCGTATCATTTGATTCATTGTTAAATATACTTTCATGTATACATATAGTTTTACATATTTTACAAATTTTTTACGGTCAAATATATGCTAAAAAGTCAACGGTGTCAAACATTTTGAAACGGAGGGAGTATATGAGAAGGTACTCCATATTAATGTTTATTAAGAGATGATGAGAGTGAGATTCGAACCCGGGCTACGCTAGTCCATCAACTTGTGATATATAGTCGATAAGATTTGGGCTAGTCTCTCTCAATTTAATTTTGAACCCCTTTTCCGTTTTAAAATATTTCCTATTTATTTTTACTGGACATCGTCGATACATTGTCTTCGATAATCACACACACACACAGATATATATATTCTACACCCGGGATATAAAATACCTCCCCCTCAATAGCCCAACCCACCTCCCCCTTCTTTTATTGGGCTCAAAACCCACCTCCCACCCTAGTCAAAGTATGGTCAAAGGACGGTCAAATCGCTGCCACATCGGTCAAACCCATGTGCTAACTTCCTCCCACGTCCACCTATTTGTTATCCTTGTCTCGTACGAACGGTGCAGTAACATGATGACTATCATGCAGTAACGTTGTACCTTACTTGCAGTAACACTAATAAAATATAGTTAAAATATAGTCGTGACGGATCTAATTTTGTAGAGCTCTTTTTTTTAAAGCATTACGGTGCAAACAGTTCAAAAATATAATATGTGGTGTGAGAGATATTATTGTTTAAAGATGTGAATTCAAAAGATATCACTTGCACTTACATTTTACTAGTTCAAAGTGGGTGGTAGGTCCTGTACCTGTGTTTGGTTGTTACCTCCTGTTATTGCAGTAACGCTATTAAGAAATTGCAGTAACATACACTGTTACTGTAAAAATTATAGTTGTTACTGCACACATACAGTAACGTCATAATGGAATGGTAGTAACACACAATAAAAAGTAGTAACAATAATGATTTAGTATTACTACTTATGGAGAGATAAATTTCAAAAGACCGATCTTCGAGAAGAAATAGTAGTAACACACTCGATTACTGTAAAAGCACATAAACTGTTAAAACTCTACAGGACACAAAGTTCCATAGTTGTAAGAAGCTAAGTAGAAGAGAAATATATATGTTATTACAAAATTCATAACAAGTTACTATGTTTTAGTAGTAACATTATCGTATAAGTATAGTAACACGTCACGTTACTACAAAACATATAGGATGTTACTGCACTTTTGATAGTAACATCATGGTGAAATTGTAGTAAACTAGGAATCGAAACAAAAATATATGAGTTAAAAGTCTACATGCTAACCATATATTTGTTACTGCACAAAAGTGTAAGTGTTACTGCAGTAAGACGCTTTGTTACTGCAAAACTTATAATATTTACCACACTTTCATAATAATGTTATGATGGGATTGTAGTAACGTACAATAGATAGTAATAACACTTGTGGAGAGTTAAATTTTAAAAGACCAATCTTTGAAGGTTCTCTCTACCCTTGCCCCATAAGTAAACCGAGCCAATTCATCTCTCTCTCCATGTTACTGCACATTTTTTTCTTACTATACATATTCTTGCAGTAACATTATCAAGTAATCGCAGTAACACACTATGTTACTATGAAACTTGTAATCGATACTACATCTTGTAGTACGATATTATATGATTGCAGTAACGCATAGCAGATCAGCAGTAATACTTATGATATAGTATTACTGCTTGTGGAGAGCCAAATTTTTAAAAAAACCAATC